TCAAGGCGGTTTTCTTCAACCCATTCGTCGAGCCGCTTGTTAACTATTAAAAACAATAGTGAATTGCAATAATTATGAAATACAGTCATCAAAGTGTACGTAATAGAAGACGCCATCCTCGGTCTCCTTTACACCTAAAATTTCGGCAGCATCTACAAAATCACAAAAACGTTGGTAAACTCACGGAAATATCGCGAGTGCCTTAATCGTACAGGGACCTTACAGCCCTCAAGGTTCCTCCGCGGGGCTCCAACGACCATCCTAGACTTCTGCGTTTAAATGTACACGGAATTGAAATGTCCCACAAATTATCTGTATCACTGATTGGCCGTATATTCGGTTCACTCTATCATAAAGATGATGGGGTAAAGCAAATGTCAGTTTCGAAATGAAAAGTACTTGGCCTTTAGGAGTTAAAGATACAGCTTCCGAAAGCCTATAATTAAATTCATCTCAAACCACACCCCTGATGGTGCTAAGCAGCTAGCCGTTAATTCAAATTTGAAGGATGATGGGTACTGGCAATACTATACGTTGGTTGAGAAGATAATTCGATCGCTGGGTCAATATTTTTATTTGTCTGACGTTGTTTTTTCCATTTTACTTGGCACAAGAAAAACAGATTGTATCGAGCAGGCATTTATTCTCTCGCTTACTAATTTCAATATGCAAAATCTTATAATCTTCAAATACTTGTATATGTCGTCAGACGTAAAGACATTCGTTGTGTGATTGGTGTACTTCTGGAATTTTAGCCTCTTTAGCCATATCACGACATATCTTTAAACCTGAAAGTTAATGTTGACAAAAGTTATAATTGGTGTCCTGATAGTTTTAGAACCTTTTAATAAATTCTAAAAAAAATTTGTTTGAAACTGAATTCATTCACATCTTATCACCAACCCGGTTTGCCTGCTCTAGTGTTATGGCTCATTAGCCTAATCGAAAATGATCGTTGGCACGCAACCAAATGTAAAGCCTTTTTGTGATTGCCAGATAGTAACGTCCTCAGACTGTAGGTAATTTGCCTCTGTGCTTTTAAAGATCATCGAAAATCAATAAAAGATATTTGGAATTTATATTTGTTAGTGCCAGGAAGGCACTGTCTATTCAAACTTAGTTACGGAAGAAAATCATGACAATGTGCGCAGCTAAAATGCACAAATTTATAATAATATTAGCAGAAATTGCCCTTTTAGGGCAATAGTAAGCGATGTTTTATAATTCATGGTGAACTAGAACATAGGCAGTGCAAAAAACCTACATTTGAAATGAAGGCAGAGTTCAACGGGCCTCCAGTTCCAAAGATGAATAAGAGAAAATAGCTGTTTAGGAAGACCAGAATAGGGC